GCACGCGCAACCCCATCGCTGCATCTGCCCGATGCCGCCGATGCGCCGCCCAGGCCGCGCGGCAGGAGGGGGCCCATGCTCGCCGTCTTGCCTTCGACGGCAAAAGACGCTCCGACGGCGGCCCCAACCTGAACACTCGCGGCGCCGCGGCTGGCCCGCGTCGGATGTCGAGCGCGGGCCCCATTAAAAATTCGCAGCCAGCATCGCGAATTTGCCGAGGGTACAGATCGCCGCCCCCGCCTTCGACGTCGTTGTCGGAATCGGCATTCGCGCCCTGCGCTGAGCGCGCGACGGGCGGGGCGGTCCTGACCGCGGCGCGATCGCGGCGCCTATGTCCCTTGGGCGGCGACCCACGCCGCGCCGCGCTCTCGCCGCTGTCGGCAGAATGCAACGGAGGGCCCCGCCGCCTGCGCGATTCGCGGCGCGGCAAATGCGTGGGCGCGCCCGTGGATCGCGCCATGGGCAAGCGAATAATTCGCCGGCCCAACGATCCAGAGGCGTGCTGAGATCTCCGGTAACAGGTCAACCATATTTCTAGTTCGCGCGCGCGGGGCGGCCCCTGGGGTCTCTGGGCGAAAAATGCACCAGTAAGGTCCTGGGCGTTCCGACTCAAATGGTTTTCCTCCTGGGCACCGCCCTCGAGGCCCTCCAGAGAGCCCCGAGAAGGGCCGCGAGGCCGTCAACAGCCCCCAAGACGCTTCAAGAGTGCTCCGAGATGCCACGCGCTTGCTACAAGACGCCCAAGATGGCCCCCAGGCGCCCCAACAGGCCCCCGAAGCAAACATCGCCCCATTTCCCAAGGCAAAACGCATGTTTAAACACATTCGCCACATGAGCCTTCACAACGTCAAAAACGGCACAAGAGGCCGAGGCCCCCAATATCACCCCAAGACGGCCCAAGAGGCCCCCAAGAGGTCGCAAAAACTGCTCCAGAGGGCCCAAAGACAACCCAAGAGGCCTCCAAGACAGCCCGAGAGGCCCCCAAGTCGGCTCCAAGAGGGGGCCCAGACGGGAGACCCGCACTGATATTTCGAGCCCTCGGCCCCGAGAAGCCGCGCCCGAGACGCCACCGAAAGGCTCCCGAGAAGCCCCGAAGGCCCCAAGATGCCACTGCGAGGCCCCTCCAAGCGGCCCCAGGAGGCACCCCAAATGCCCCCCCAAGCACGCTGGCTAGTGCCAGCGATGTTACAATATGGGCCAGCGGAGTGAGGGAAGCGATTGAATTTCTCTGCCACGCGCCAACGCTGCGGCATCACCGCGGCCATGCCTCGGTTCTCTCGGGCCTGCTCCACGAGCCCCGCGCGTCCGTGGGCGCCCCTCCTTTGCCGGACTTGCCGTCTCCCCTACTGCCGGGTTTGCCAGGTGCGTCCCGGCGCGGGCTGCGCGAACGCCGGATGACGGGGCCCCTCGGGGCCCTTGGCCCGGATCGTCGCCTCGCGCGCCGCGGAGCGCGCCTGGTCGCGCTGGCCCCCGCCCCTGGCGATCGACGCCGAGCGGTCTAGCTGCTCGACCCTCGCCGACGGCGGTCAGCCCAAGTCGCGTTGCCCACGCGGCCCCCGCCCCGATTGCCTCGCGCCTTGGCGGCGCGCGGGATGTCCGGCGACAGCGCGGCGAACGCGGTTGCCGCAGCTTCATCGCCGCGCCAAAGATGCATCGCACCTTCTGGCGGAGCAACAACTCGCATGCACGGGGGGCCCGCGTGCTTCGCGGCCCTGCGCGCGCGGCCCCGGACAGCGGCCCTGCCGCGTCGCGCCTAGCGCACCCGTGCTCTTCACGCGCGCGAGCTGATGCGTTTGTCCTGGCAGCACGACGGACTCGAAAACCTTGGACAGACAGAATGCAGCGGGGCCCCCATTTCATCACGTGGGCCTCGCGCCACTGGGCGCGCGCGGGCGCTCGCGCCCCGCCGCTGCGCGCGCGGCCCGGAAGTGCGCGTGGCCGAGAAAATCCACCCGGACCGGGGATGCCCCCGCGCGGTTCGCTGTGGCGACGGCCGACGCGCGATCGCGCCGCGAACCAGTCCCCGCTGGCGCCGAGCCCAGCCGCGGCGCCCCCGCCCATTGGGCCTTGCGGTGGTCCTGTCCGCGGAACGGGGAGAGGGGGGCGGCGGGGCGGACGTCGGCCGCGACGCGCGGCGCCGAGCCAGGGCGCTGCAGGCTCTCGCCCTGGGCGCCCCCGATATAGGAGCGGCCATTATACTGGGCCGTCCCCCCCGCAGCCGCGATTTCGCGCGTCGACTCTTCCGTCGGCGACCCGTCGCGGGGGAAGTTGCCGAGCCAGACCTCGCGCGCCAGGTCCTGCGGAGGCGCCCCCCCCGCGCGCTCGGCGGCGCCCGCGCGTTCGGATCGCGCCGCTCCTCCATGGCGAACGCCCGGGGCTTCTCTTTCTTTTCTGTCAGCAAACCCCTGCTGGCCATCGCGTAATCTTCCATAGCTGCCGCGGTTCGCGCCGTCCCCACTGCGGGCTTGGCGGTCGCCTCCGCCGGGGCCGACTGCTGCCCGGCCCAGCGCCGCGTCGCGCGGCGGCCCGCGCCCGCGCGCGCGGTCGGGGCGGGGGGCGCGGCTTGATGGTGAAATCGCGCCACTCCGCGGGTTCGTCTTCCACGTGCGGCTGCGCGCCCGGCCTGCGGGCCGAGATCAACGCGTCGCGCGTGGATGCGCCCGAAATAGTCAATCGGCTGGGCCTCTCCGACCGCTTCGGCCATGGGGCGCGCGACCGCGGTGCATAGGACCCGCTCGGGATGCCGTGGTGCCTCCTCCCCCACCACCGCGTTGGCCTTTGCGATGAAGAGGTCCAATCGGCCTTGCGCGCCGCGCAGACAAGGAGGCCATCGCAGGGAATTGCGCGCGCGCGCTCCCAATGACCCCCTCAGAACCGGGGGGAGACAGACCCCCCACCAGGGGCTGATCTGCGACCTCTGCGTGCTCTGCCCTCGACCGCAGCCTTTGATCGACGCGTTCCCTGGGCTTTTTGATCGACGGGCTGGGGGCTTGCAGCACACACGCAGGACTAAGATCCACAACTTGCATCGCTGGGGGAGGAGAACCCTGGCCCACAGCTCCTTGACGCTCCTTGATCGGCGGCCGCGAGGGATCAAGCAGCGCGCGCGAGCGGCGGCGGGCTGCAGCCGAGGCGACGTGGAGCACGCGAGGCAGGGGGAGGCGCGCGCGGGGCGCGGGGCAGGGGGCCGGGGAGGCGCCCGTGGGGGGGGGGGGGACGAAATCAAGCACACACCCTTGACACACCAGGCTTGGGTCGGGCATGTCCTCCCAATTGCAGGAGGATGTTGGAACTTGTTTTTTGTTTTGTTTTTTCGGGAGGGAGCACGACATCAGGCAAAACAAACAAACAAAAAATAGCCAAAACAGCACGGAGAGTCGTCAACATAGTATGTTGTCACCATTCTGCAGAGGGGCATGCCTTCGGTGGCGACTCGTGGGAGCCTCCCATACCACCTTGTCGGCTCTTGCGAATCGACGCTGCTCGACGCTAAGTCGACGCTAATCGACGCTAAATCGACGCTAATCGACGCTAGCCGAAGCTCAACCAGCGCTATTTCATCGACTCCTGGATCCTTATCGACGCTCATCGACGCCAAAGACGGACTTCAGAGGGTATACCAGCTCCCCACGATTCGCTTCCGAGCATATCCCCTGAGGTCCTGGCGACTCAGTTTTCTCGAGCTCGGCATTGTGGCTCCATTTCAAGCCCCCAGACCCTCACAGATGCATGCGTCTAAAACAAAAAGACGCAGGAAGAGGGGGTCCGGGGATGCGGTCGTGATTTGTTGCGTTGCTGCAACTTTTGCTGCAACGTTGGATCTCAGGGTCGGCCGACTCTGGGCAGCCAGCGGCGTTCCAATGTGCAACACGCTGGCGGCGGGGTCGCCGCCGGTCGGCACGACGCGGGATTTGCTACCGAATGTAGGGAAATGAACTCGATACACCGACGCTTTTTCCGACCCTGCGCTGAAATTCGCACAGGAACGCGGATCCTGGTGTATACGGGATCCTGGTGTATACATGTTTCGTTGTTTCCCTTGGAAAACACAGGGAAAACTATACACCACATCACCCCGTCGTCGTCCCCGACCATCAAAAAGTCCTGGGACTCAAGAAACAGCCCGCCACTGGCAATGAATACGTTCCAGTTTCCGACCGGCGGCGGGGTCGCCGCCGGTCGGCACGACGCGGGAGCTGCCGCCGAAGGATTTGCCCCACATGCGAACCCTACCCCTGCCCCCCACGATTTCTGAGGGTGGGGGTGGGGGTCACTTTGTTCGGGAGCTCCCGAGCGAAGCAAACCCCACCCTCCCCCTCAGAAATCGTGGGGGGCAGGGGTAAGGTTCGCATGTGGCCCCCTACATGATTTGCTACCGGATCAGACCGTGGGAGATCCGATTCCAACCTCGCAGGACTATACACCAGCCCGACGTCGTCCCCGACCCTCAGAAAGTCCTGGGATTCAGGAAACAGCCCGCCACTGGCAATGTATACGTTCCAGTTTCCGACCATGATTTGCTACCGAATCAGACCGTGGGAGATCCGATTCCAACCTCGCAGGACTTGTAGCCCAAAGCAAGCGCTCGGCAGCAGGGGGGGCGGAGGAGAGCCGGGCGGCGCAGGCAGGACTGCGCCCGATCCTACCACGTCGACGCTGGGCATTTTTGCCCGGCCGGGGGGATCCTCCAGATCCTCCGGGTTCACGAGGTCCTCCAGATCCTCGAGATCCTCGAGATCCTGGAGGTTCTCCAGATTCTCCAGATCCCCAAATCCTCGAGGTCCTCGAGATCCTCGAGATCCGTGAAGTCCTCGAGGTCAGGATGGGGGGACAGCAGAGAGGGAGGAGGCGTAGGCGGAGCACGATGGAGGAAGGGGGAAGCGAGGAAGGGAGAGGGGAAGGAGGGGAAGGAGGGAGGCTGACAGAGTGGCGAAAAAGCCCGCCTGAGATCCAGCAGCAAAGAGAAGCATCCGGCAGAGAGAGAAGCATACTGTGTGGGCCTGGTCGCGGCTCTCCGTACTGCGTTGCCGTCAAGGCCTTGCAGAAGAGGAGGGAGGAAGGGAGGGAGAGAAGAAGCGACCGAGAGAAGGAGAAGACGAGATGAAAGAGGAAGACATGGGCGCAGGGAAAGACATTGCAACGGCATGGTCGTGGCTGAATACATCATGTAACGCGTTGCCGCCGTGACCTTACAACTAGCGTCTTATGGGAGACTATGCAATGAGACGAATGAAAAAAAACGAGAGAGCGAGAGAGAGAGAGAAACAAACAAAACGAGAGTGAGAGAAAGAGGAAGAGAAAGAGAGAGAGAGAGGGACACACACGCACAGACACACACACACACACGCACACACACACACACACACACACACACATACAGGCACACACACACACACACACACGTCACTACACTCGGGCTGGACATGGGGGATGCCGAGGGTAATGTGGAAGCCCGTGTATACCTCTAGTACTTGTATAAGAAGAACGTAGCTGTAAGACTCTGCACAAAGTTGTCAGACAAATGCGCGCGTACCTTAACAACAGATCAGTATAGTAAGAAGTCCGCCACCGTGCCTCGAGGCACGTACTGGAGTGTCTGCAGGTCACGTGAACCCTCTCGCGAAAGCGTGTAGTTTCGACATGTACGACATTCTCGTCTTGGCAGCGCACACTGCGACCCAAGAAGCCCCCGATCTATCGTCTGAAGAAAGTCACCGAAGCTCCCAAGACGGCTCTAGGACAGCCTACTAGAGCCCCAAGAGGGCCCTAGAGGGCCACAAGGCCGCGACAGGGTTCCTTAAGACTGCCCAGTAGGGCCCCAAGAGGGCCAATACGAACTGACATCTCGAGGTTTCCCGCCGTGACGGCCCCAAGATCCCCCCAGTGACCCCCGAGGGGCCCCCAAGAGGCCCCAAGAGGCTTCCAAGAGGCACCCAGAAGGCTCCCAAGAGGCCCCCGACAGGCCCTCCAGAGCCAATCACCCAACAAACCCTCCAAGAGGCCCCTGAGAGGCATCCCAGGAGACCCTCATATGCCTCGCCGAGGTCCCTGAGCCACAGGCCAAACACGATGGCGCGTTGGGCCGAGGGCCAGGAGGTCCGCCGCCCCCCGCTAGCTTGCCCCAGGGGTGCCTGGCGTGCTAGATCCTACCGCTTTTGGTTTTGGTTATTTTCCCAAAGACCCCCCCTGGGGCTTCTTCGGCCGATCCCGCCGGCCACCAGGAAGGCGCCCAGATAGTCCAAGACGGCTCAAGATAGCCTCCAAGACGGCCCAGATGGCCCAAGATGGCCTCCAAGTTCGCCCAAGACCAAGATGGCCTCGACGACCGCCCATGAGAGTCCAAGATGCCTCCAAGTTCGCCCCAGAAGCCTCCAAGACGGCCCAAGACGGCCCCACATGCCCCCAAGAGGCCTCCAAGACGGCCGTAGAGGCCTCCAAGACGGCCAATGAAATCTCCAAGAGGGCCTCCAGGAAGGCCCGAAGGGGCCACAATCATTGATTCTCTCCCATCGGTGTTTGAAGGATTCTGGCATGTGTTTATTTTCGGCCTCCCGACGGCCCGAGACGGCCCCAAGAGGCCCCCAAGACGGCCCCAAGATGGCTCCAAGACGGCCCAAGAGGCCTCCAAAACACCTTAGGTGGCGCCTCCAAGACTGCCCTGGAGCACCCCAAAAGGGCCCCAAGTCGGCCCAGAGAGGCGAGAGGCCCTCAAGACGGCTTCCGACGGCGTCAGACGGGCCATCAAGACGACCAAAAATAGCTCGAAGATGGCCCCAAGACTGCCCAAGAGGCCCCCAAGAGGCCTCCAAGACGGCCAATGAGATCTCCAAGAGGGCCTGCAGGAAGGCCCGAAGGGGCCACAAGCGTTGAGTGTTCATTTTCGGCCCTCCGGCGGACACAGACGGCCCAAGAGCCCCCAAAGATCGCCACAGGATCGCCGAAGAGGCCTCCAAGATGGCCCCAGAACAGCCCAAGACGCTCCCAAGACGGCCCCAAGAGGGCCCCAAGACGGCCTAAGAAGCCTCCGAGACGCCCAGGATGGCCACCAAGACGGCCCTGGAGCACCCCAAGAGGGTCCCAAGTCGGCCCAGTGAGGCCCTCAAGATGGCTTCTGACAGCCTCAGACGGGCAAGAAATGCCCTAAGACGGCAAAAGAGACCCCCGAGAAACCCAAAAGCCCCCCAAGAGGTCCAAGGAGGCCCCCAAGATGCCTCCAAGAGAGCAGCTCCCAGGAAGCTCCCAGGAGGCGCTAAGAGTGCCCCCAGAAGCTCCCAAGATGCCCCCTCCGCCTCCTTCTCCTCCTGACCTTCCTTGACATCCTCCCCCAAGTGTTCCCCGAAAGGTTTCTACAACGGCTGGGGGAACACACGGTCCGACAGCTTGGCAGAGTTCTTGCCACAACGCTCGGCCACATTGCCGTATCCTAAAAGGCAAGGGGAGCCGGTGATTCGCCGGAGGCGTCTTCGACCCGTCGCCCCCTGTGGCTTGCCACAGGGCTGCACGGCGTGCCAAATGTCTGGCAAGTTGTTGGTTCTTTACCGAACAACTCCCCATGGAGCTTCGGCCCAGCCCGCCGGCCACCCGGAAACCGAGCCTCCCGTTGGCTGTTTCACTTATAAGGTGGCCTCCAAGACGGCCAATATGGCTCCCTGGACGGCCACGATGGCCCCAAGAGAGCCCAAGATGTTGCCAAGATGTTCTCAAGACGGCCCGTGATGCAGCCAAGACGGCCTAAGATGGCGTCAAGATGGCCCGAGACGGCATAAGGGGTGCCCAGTAGGCCCCTGAGACGGTCCAAGAGGCCTCCAAGAAGACCTCGAGGAAGGCGTGAAGAAGCCAAAATCAATTCTGTTCCATCAGCATTTGAAGGAGTTTAGCTTCTGCTTGAAGACGGCCCTTCAACGGCCCAAGACGGCCCAAGAGCCCCCAAGATTGCCCCGAGATCGCCCAAGAAGCCTCCAAGATGGCCCCTAGACGGCCCAAGAGGCTCCCAAGACGGCCCCCAAAAACACCAAGACCACCCAAGAGGCCTCCAAGACGCCCAAAATGGCCTTCACGGCAACCCTGAAGTACCCCAAGAGGGCGACGGTCCAACGGGGCTCACAAGACGGCTTCCGACGGCGTCAGACGGGCCAGGAACGCCGTCTTGAGGCCCCCCAAGAAGGCCCCAAAGGCCCCCACGAGGCCCAAGGAGGTAACCAAGAGGCCTCCAACAGGCCTCCAGCAAGCTCCCAGGAGGCCCCCAGGATGGCCCAAGAAAATCCCAAGAGGTTTGATCATCCTTCTCTTCATATTTCTCCTCATCCCCCTCCCCCTCCTCCTCCTCCTGCTCCTGCTCCTCCTCCTCCTCCTCCTCCTCCTCCTCCTCCTCCTCCTCCTCCTCCTCCTCCTCCCCTCCTCCTCCATCATCATCATCATCATCATCATCATCATCATCATCATCATCATCATCATCATCATCATCATCATCATCATCATCATCATCATCATCATCCCCCTCCCCCTCCTCCTCCTCCTCCTCCTCCCCCTCCTCCTCCTCCTCCTCAGACCGTTCCTCGAGGCGAACTTAGGGCGTTTGAATGGGCTCTGCGTTTCAGCGTAGGCGAACTGCTGTATGTTACGGATTGTGACGAAGTAGCTAGAGGGTGGTACGGCGAGTTGTTTCGCAGGCCTCAAGGACCCCAGTCAGACATATGGCGTGACATCGGTAAGCTACTGATCTCACAAGGTAGAGCTCCAGCGTGTGTAGTTGTCGTTCAGATCCCGTCTCATTTGACAGGTGCTGAAGTGCTGGCCCGTGGTCTCCCCTCGTGGTTAGTGCTAGGCAACTCATGTGTGGATGAGATCGCGGGAGTGGCAGCGACACTCGCGCGTGTTTCTTCTGAGGATCGTCACAAGATTCATGAGGTCGAGCATCGGGCCCGACTTGTACGGAGGAGGTTGCTGCGTGTCGGCTTAGACTCCATTCGAGCGTCTCAGCTTTCTGGTGCCCAGAGAGTGCGAAGCGTTGGTAGAGTCTCTCCCCCTCCTCCCCCTCCTCCTCCTTTAGCTCTTGCACGCTTCGCGTCCGCACATACCCTGACCGAAAACGGGAGGGCGTGTAGCGTGTGTAAAGGCTCTGCGTCCAAGGCTGTGGTGTCCGAATGGCTAAAAAGTGAATGCTTCCAACTCCAGCATGACAGCAGTGAGCTTTGTCGTGTTCCTAGGGGACGGCGTTTACACTTAGCCGGTGGTTGGACTCATCCCTCACACGCCTTGACCTGTCATACAGGTCTTAAAATCTGGTTTTGCCGCACGTGTGGGTTCTTCGGCCAGGCTCAGCTCAGAGGCCTGGGAGAACAGTGCAAGCTGCCGATTTCGAAGGCCAGGCGCGAGTACCTTGACAGGATTAATCGCGGCCTGTTTCCGAAGGGCTGAGCATTTAAGCCTGGTTATCACTACGTGATGGCGGAAATCCTGGAAATCCTCCTCCTCCTCCTCCTCCTCCTCCTCCTCCTCCTCCTCCTCCTCCTCCTCCTCCTCCTCCTCCTCCTCCCCCCCCTCCTCCTCCTCGTCCTCCTCCTCCTCCTCCTCCCCCTCCTCCTGCTCTTCCTCCCCCTCCTCCTCCTCCTCCTCTTCCTCCTCCTCCTCCTCCTCCTCCTCCTCCTCCTCCTCCTCCTCCTGCTCCTCCCCCTCCTCATCCTCCTACCCGCGCCTGCGGAGGAGGGCTCTCCATGGAAGAGCAATGCTTCTGCATCGTCGTCTGAATCCGCCGACGTCCGCTTCCCAGGACTGCAGAGACGCGCGAGATGATTGGCTGTCCCCTTCCCAACCATATGATAGCCCAACGTGGAGGCAGATGTTGGCACACAATTGTACACGATGACTCGCCTTAACAATTTCCATGGGCTATTCACTTCGTGCGGGGGCCAACAGAATGGCGTAAGCCTCTTTAGTAAAACCAATTCCGCCACCGTGCCTCGAGGCACCAACTGGAGTGTCCTCATGTGACGTGATTCCTGTCCTGAGTATGAGTAATCGAAGACGAATGCGGCGAG